TAACTTGTGTTTTTCGCCCATCTTTGACATTTAATATATACACCCAAACCCTCCAAGTCTAAGGCCCAAGGTCCATGGCTTTGGCCCAATTCAATTCAAACTACAAGTGAGTGAACTCACTTATAGAGAGTTAGTGTAAAGGGTGTATGGGCGATGTGGGACTGGCAGTCCCACATAACACAAGTTCCAACACATAGAATGTAATATACAACTAAGTGTAGTGGATTTGAGGTTCTTTGGGAACTCTAGTGTGAGAGCTTTGTTACTACGAACGTATGTCAACGGTTCAAAGTATAAAAATAAATTATTGAATCGTTAATGTCCAAAAGTGATCTTTAGGTCAATAATTTTGGATTAATTATCAAATTAATGGATTGCAGGTCACTTTTAATTAATTGAATAGATCAGGACCAAACATGGTCAATTGTAGAAGCTAAATAATATTAATATACGGGTTAATACTATTTAGAATGCTAAAATAATAGCATGTGGGTCAAAAAATTGCCCTAAAAGATAATTGGGCTCGGGTTGGGTACCTTGAGTAAAAGGCATGGCCCAAAAAAGGGCCTCGAGTGTGAACTTCAGGTCACAGGGTGAGGGAGAAACCCCAGCCACAGCTGGGTTTCAAGGTTGGGCCTCGGGGATGGCACAGGACAAAGCCCAACAGATTTGCTGGCTTGTTAATGCATGGGAGCCCAACCATAGTGGGCTGGCGTCATGCAAAGACCAAACCCATGTATATGGGCTAATACCGGAATAGGCTATAAGCCTTAGTGTGCACGGGATAGTAGCCCAGCAAGCATGATAGCTTGCTGGCATGGGCCAATACCAGATAGAGGTTCAAAAAGGAAAGCTGCAGGCTTCCTTCATGATTGGGGACTATGGGCCTGAGACAACCCAACTAGGCCAAAGGCTTGGGGTGTGTATATGCTCACAGTAAAGCTGTAGTCAAGGTCCATGTAGGTGTAGCAAAGCCCGGAGGGCTGCTGCCCAGTTTGTGCCGCAAGGGGTGGTGCCATACCATTCCCAAATTTTTTGTTCCGACATATGTAGGGTTTAAGAAACCCTAGAATTGCCTCTAATTTAATTTGAAACTTTGACTCACATATTCCACGTAACAATTTAATTGTGCGATGCATAAAACAAATATATATATATATATATATATATATATATATTGATAAATATATGAACATATACAATATAAATATCGGAAGGAAAATATAAACATAAGGGGGGTTCATGCATCATGGGGAATGTTTTCATGCTTCATGGTTGTTTCAAATATCTTACTTTATTTTAAGCGTACCTGATTGGCAGAAAACAAATAAAAGCCTTTGAATTTGTAGAAGATCCTTCTCTGTAAGCTGGAATTGCATCTTCAATGTGTTGTATAACGCTCAACATAGAAAAATTAAATTGAATCAATAGCATGTAGATCAATTCAAAATAATAAATTAATCATAAAAAGAATGATTAAAATGTAATACTCCTTTGATTGAAGAATAAACTCTTTTTAGCGCAGCGTCAAGAGTGTGCTGATAACGTGTTGTAGGCATAATTTACTGAACAATTATGGAGGCCATAGAGAGAGAAAGGTGCGGCAATAGTAGAGAGAAAGAGAGAGATGCGTAATTGTGGGTGTGTGTTATTCCATCCCATTGTGCCTTTATTTATAGTAGTAGGGAAGGTTAATTCCTTACCCTTTAGGATTACAACATTTAATAAGTAATCTACTCATAATAGGAATATAAGATACATTCTCATATCTACTAGGATTTACACAATCACATTCCTATTCCAATAGGACTGCAACAATCTTAGATCTTTTATTTTCCATTAACATATATCTATATAACTTAAATCTATTTGTCTATCAGACAAGCTTGAGGAAAATAATAGCTCACATAAATCTTATGACTTCTAAACAAATTTCTTCAATGTTGCGCAATATTAAATGATACATGAATAAGTGATTGAGATTAAAAGTGGGGCGATCTTTGACATTTTGGAGGTCTTGTGCATTTTTTTTTTTTTTTTTAAAGTCCTCCTTATTTAAAAACATAATATTTTTTTGGATAATAGAGTCATACAAAGTTCTACAATCAATATTCAAACTTAATGAAATCAGCATCACACTTTTACTAATTGAATAATGTCTACTGACATGAATCATGATTTAGGGTTCATCCATGAAAAAATGGAGCATGACTAAAAGAGAGATACAGAAATACACTTGTTTTTGTGAAAGAAAGTAATACACAAATTAGTTTTATTGCTAAAGAAAAGTGGTACACAATTTTTTGTATTTGCTAGAAAAGTGAAAAATTAATATATTAATTGTCACATTCCGGCCTGAGCCCCCACTACATCTTGGGCTCAACTCTACCGTAGCACGATGTTGTCCGCTTTAGGCCCCAACCACACCCTCACGATTTTGTTTTTGGGAATTCACACGAGAATTTCCTAGTGGGTCACCCATCATGGGATTGCTCTTGCACGCTACTCACTTAACTTCGGAGTTCCTACGGAACCTGAAACCAGTGAGCTCTCAAAAGGCCTCGTGCTAGGTAGAGATGGGAATATACATATAAGGCTTACAAGATCTACTCTCCTAAGCGGTGTGGGATGTTACATTAAGTATAAACTCCACTTAATCTTATATAGAGAAAATCAACTGACGATGATTTTTCTTTTTAGTTAAAATTTTTTTATTAGCAAATTTATAATCGTATGTAATATATAAGAGGATAACTTTTTTGGGGACCCATCAAAAATTTGGGGTCCTATGCCACTGCACCTTTTGCACACCCCCAACACCCTTTTTGATTAAAAGTAAAAAATCTAAACAATTGAAGAAATCAAATCTAACAGTTAAAACACCCAAAGTATTGAAGCCACATCCGACTTCCAAATAAGTGAAAGACTATTAGTTTGTTTGAATTTTAGTAATTTTTCTTTTTTCAAGGTGATTTGCTACTTGCATGTTGGAGGGGGGACAAACCCTACTAACCTAATGGCTTAGGGCGTGCTTAATGTGACCTCAATAAGAGTTGCTAGTGAATCTTTCACCGACTTAACTTATCTTCAATCCAATCAATCATTTCAATGTTCAACTTAGTTATAAGTCATTGCCACACTACCATATTTGGGCGATGAATTTATTATTTATTATTAGAAGAGATCTCAACTTTAAAACTGCATTAAATTGATGATATGGTAAGTGTAAGATTATTATATGGGCTAATGTGTAACATTTGCACCACATTGATACAAAAACTCATAAATTTAATGGAGGAATAGATATTAAAATAGATAAAAGGTGTAAATACAATTTCAATACTTTAGGTTGCAATGAAAAAATTTAGAAACCCGTCTCCCATTTTAAAAATCACCCTAAACTGTAAAGCTTTGCGTCTTTAAACAACTAAATAAAAAAGAGTAACACACCCTTAGTCAAAATATTTTTGCATATTCATGTACACATATATGGTTCCATTTTTGTAAGTTTCTTGACCCACAATTGCAAAAAAACATGGTTTTTTTTTTTCCTCTCTCTTTCACATTTGTAAGTGAGAGATTTTAAGTTTTGTGATTGATAAGTTTGCTATCAAATTATTATGGCAAACGTATTCTGTGATTTAGCCCAAATCTCCCTCACCTTTGTGTAAATATATTGTTAAATTAAAAAAGGAAATGCAGGAGACTACATTTTGTACACCACATGCGGATCATTTCTCTAACCAGAGGTGAGATGTAATTGTATTGGTGGGTCTTACTTGTATTAGAAAGACCGTTCACATATAGCCTACAAAATGTGGTTTGTCTATCAACACCATTAAAAAAATGAACAATGCTTGACTACTCAAGGATGAGTAAGAACCTATACTCAAAATTTTTCGTGTTTGATTAACAGAACTTTATACTTATAATTGAAAACGTTCATATTATAAATATATTATGAATTCTGATTAAAAACACTAAATTCTATGGACAAGAAATGAAGGGTTTTTGAGTACGAGCTCCTATTTATCTTTTGAGTAGTCAAGTATTATTAAAAAAATTCCACATAAGTTGCATTATGAGAAATTTGTAGTAGAATTGGTCTTAATTAATGTTTAAAATATCGGTATACCGATATGCAAATTTGTAGAAATATCGACGGATATATTGAATTGCTATCGATCTTGGTTGACTTTGATGGAAGTAACGGAAATTTAAAATGAAATTTAATACTCTGTTTGGATGAAGAAATTTAAGGAATTTTAAAATGACGAAAATTGAAATGACAGAATTTAATTTTCTAAAATTTGTGAATTTTCTTATTTGGAAATGACACCTATTTACATAGAATTTAAACTTGGGAATTTGAGGTCCCAAATTCCAATTATTTTTCCCTGCAGAAATTCTAAATTTCTATGTTTATGAATCCAAACAAGAGAATTGGTGCATGTCAATTTATAAATTCTGACTTTTATCAAAATCCCAAGTTTATTTCCTTCATCTAAACATAGTGTTAGGGATTGTCAAGTATTAGTTTGGACGAAATATAAGAGTTTCTCTAATATTTAACATATTTGTCAAAAATATCGACAATATCTGTCGATTATGCTAAATTTAAGAGTTTCTCCGATACCCCATTTGCGCATCTTTCTTTGATTTTTTTGAATATTTTCACGATAATATCTATAATAATGAAGAAATTTTAAGCACGGGTCTTAATTCACTCCATTACCCTTGTCGACTCCATCAACATCTGTTATGCCGTAATGTCCTCCGTCATCCTTTATTTCACTCCTTTAATTTTTATTTTCCTTTCTTATGATTAATATACAACAATCACTCCTTTAATTTTTATTTTCCTTTCTTATGATTAATATACAACAATTAATTCCAGAATCTCTTATTTCCTCCATTGACCTTGGATCACAATCTCACTTTTGAACCGGCCTAGGTCTAGGGAGGGCCCCAATCTTCCCTCTTTTATGACCCTTCATGCAAAACCAACCGTTAGGGTCAATCTTGCAATTTCCACGCAACCCCAAGGGCATACTCAAGACGCGCCGAAATTTCGGAGTCCCAGACAGGATTTCGCCACCCGAAACAGAGCTCGAACACCAACACCCACAAAATGACCCTCCTACCTACCACTCTATTCAAATTTCAAACCCATTTCCATCGCCATTCCCCAAAAACCCCAGGGGCACATTCGTCAATCCAATCCCTACCCACAATAATAATTATAAATTCTTCAGGGCCATAAATTCAAATTTCCGGATAGAAAAAGCAAGCCCGGCTGGGTGTCTGTCCAAAACCCAAACGCTCCTGCGAAACGCACCGCTCCCTGCTTTAAACCGCTTGTACTCTAAGGCTCGGCGCTTTTGGCCGCTTGTACCTCGCGCTTAAATTTCGGTTGCAATATTTACACGGGCGGTGCTACAGTGCGCCGAGAGCAACCTTTGCGTTTTCTCTCCGATACAAAGCGGAGTTGAAAACTCCGGATTTAGGGTTTTAGCGGGTCGGGTGCGGAGCTCCGAAGCCCTAACCAGAGCTATTTCTGGTTCTGCTCGGCGGTGCATTTTAGAGAGAGAGTGAGGATGGAAATGGAGGAAGATATGGAGGTTGAGCAAGTTTTAATGGCGCAGGAAGTGGACATTGACTACGAGTACGATGCAGCTCGGTACTTCGACTTTGCTAGGCAGGAGACTCCGGCTGAGGCTCGCCGCGCCGAGCTCTGGTTCGAGTCCGCCAAGAGCTACCCGCCGTCTCGTAAGCCTCTCTGCCTTCAACAACGTCGTTTCTTGACATTTGCATTTCGGAATCTTTTTAATTCATCAATAGTGAGTTGGCTTGATCCATTTTTCAAGCATTTTAAAAATTAGGAAATAATTTTATTTTTGTTTAAAGATAAAATGATTCATATCTTTTGTTCAATTTTGTATATGTCATCTGATAATTTCCGTGAAAAATGATTATTCTGATAATACATTGCCTTTTCTTGTCTTGAATTATGAATAAAAATCTGCAAGCGATGTTTGAATTTATAATTTTGACAATGGAAAGTGATTTCAATGGCTGATGTTGATCTGTTGCAGCTGTTGTGACAAGGTTAATACTTGGACTGGAAACCCTCCTGGAAAATGTAAACGCCTCGCCGAAATCCTATGCGGAGACTGCAAATGACGGCAATTGTGATATCGGTGTGGGCACAGAACCATGTGCAATGGATGTAAATAGCAGAGGTATGGACGAAATCCCCTTGATTTGTGCTTTGTGGAGAAGCAGGATTTAGAACAGATTAGTCTTTTGTTTTTGGCATTTTGTTTTCTTGGTTTGAAGTATAAATCTTTTAAGTGCAATGTTTCGTGTTGTAGCTGAAGGAATGAATAGAGGGATCTTTGGAAATTTACAAAAAGTTTTAAATCAACCAAATGGAGCTGGTACAGGTGATCGCTTTATACCTTGATGACTATGGTGTTTGCTAATGGAATCCCAGATTTATTTCCGAATAAATGAAGAGCATGATATAAACTATACGCAGTTTAAGTCCGCAATTTTTCAGATGGAATTAGATTTTTAAACAAGTTATTACGGACACATTACTAATGAACTATAATAAACTATTTCAATTGGTCCAGACTCCAGCACAATGTATCTGTTGTTTTCATTTTCTTTCTCCCTCTTTAATTTATGCTTTTGTTTTCCAGGGGTGACATTCAACAGTTACTTAAACGGTGATAAGCTTAAAGGTAAAAGTAACACTTCTGTAAAGCCATCTTTCCCCAGGAGCTCAACTTTGATGAAGCCTACTGCAAGTCAGCTCGCTAAGCAAAATCTGAAGTCTCAAAATGGCGGTTCCAGGTGCTTCAGAATGTCCTGCCTTTTGACTATGCATACCATATTTTTTGCGTTGCATTGAAGTAGAGATGTGGTGTTCTTTTGCAATTATTCATATCACTTCATCATTACAGTCGCTTCCGTAGCTAACTTAAGTAATTATCATGTGAGACTGTTTCTCTCCTTATGCACACTGATTTTAATCCCCCAGATTGTAAATTGGGAATTACTATGTCCAATAAGGTAATTATATGTGAGACTGTAATACCTCCATTCTATGTCCTGTAAACAGAGAAAGTGTAAAATGTGGGCATCTTACTACCTTTAAGTCCCATACTTACTGCATCTGATGTCTTATTACTTAATTGTTAGATTCCAGATGCTGCATGTTCAAAACAATGAGAAGAGCTTATGTAGTTCTTCTGGGGTTGGAAGTCAAGCTCCCAAAAGACAGAAGCTAGATGGAGGACACTTGCATAAGGTACAGAAGTTTTACCATCTGCAACTGGTACTGAGCACATTCAAATTTTGTTATCCATATTTTTCTTTAATGCAAGAACTGTTTCTGTGATATTTATACAGACCTGTATTCTTCCGGACCAAATTTTTGTGGGCACACACGCTTCACACATGGACCAACAGTTTTTTGGCACATACGATTTGACCAATATGTACTGTTTATGGCATGATGATTATGCTCTTTAAGTATGCATCTCATTTAGATTCTAATAGTTATTTAAGGAGGTATGCTTTGGTTTTTGAACTAGTGCCTATGAATTGAGTATTCTTCACTTTTCTTCATGACAGCATACTGATGCGAAGGAGCAAACTAATTTTGTCCACAAGGTGCCTAAAAAGGTATTCTAGCTTTTATATGCTTTGTATAACTGTCTCTCTTAGTACATTATTGAATAACACTAAGTTATTCTATAAAAGTTGTCCTCCAAAAATTTCAACTTTAGACAAATAATAGCTTTGTCTGGATGGGTTTATTAAAAAAAATACAACTGCTAACTGTTTTACAGCGCATTTTATATTGTTAAGGAAGTAATCCTGGGTGTAATAGAGCTTCCCAAATTTCTTTACTTGTGATTTTGTTTCTAGATGTCTGGAGTGATGCATAAAAGAAAACTGAGATGACCTATAATAGATGCACTATTGCTGATAACGTCTTAAATAAGAGATGCTCAATTCATCAGATATGTTTATTAAACTTTCTTATTTATGGATGGTATTGCAGGATGAAACTTTTGACAAAACCACTGTGCATGCTAGGTTGAGACTTACTATTCCAAGAGAGCCTGACTTTGAAACGGCACATAGGGCACACAGGATTAGGTGGGTTTTGGCTTTGGGGCAGAAATCACATAGTTTAGTTTACCAGTCTGCAGGTAGTTATGATATGTTTATATTTCAGGCCTAACAATGGATCAATGTTAGAACAAGTGACATCAACTCATCGAAAATTCAAAGCTCGTCCATTGAACCGAAAAGTTGGTACTTAAAGTTATTAGATGGGGATTTTGAATAATGTTTTATCTTTGATTCCTCCTTCACTGTTTTTTGCATTTATACTGCAGATTTTCGAGGCTCCTTCATTGCCACTCCCAACAAGGAGCACTCCAAAGTTGCCAGAATTTCAAGTGAGTGCTTGATATTTATAAATTTTTTTCTGCTTAACCTATTATTACTCTTTTCTTCAGTGGCTTGGAGGATAAAGACAGTTGTACCCTCAAACTGATTTGAAAAATAAAAAAGGCTGTAAAATAACTGCCTTTTGAAGTTTTGTGGCTCAGAGTTCCTTTGTTAATTTTGCTTTTTAGGAGTTTCACCTCAAGACAATGGAAAGGGCTATGCAAAATGCATCGGCTGTTTCATCATCCTCACATCATCTCAACGATCATGGCAAGGTTAGCTGTGAATTTAATTAAATAGTTTTCACTGTTATCTGAAGTCAAAGTGGTCCCTTGAGTCATGTGAAACGTTGTGCTCAAAACTATTTCATGTAAATGTGCCTATAATCTGCATTTTGTAGGATTTGGAAAAACCTAGTATTTCTACCGTCGTGGAAAACAGAAAAGGAGAATCCAGAAGGTAATAGCATGAGAAGTAGAAATGCTCAGTTTGCTTTTTCCGATGTTTTCTCATACTAGGAAAATAGTTCTTACTATGGGTTTGATCTTCTTTGATTAGACCAAGTACAGTGGAATGTCCTAAGCAAGATAGAAATACAGGAATGCAAACATTTAAAGCTCGTCCTCTTAACAAAATGGTAATATTTTACTGCACTACATCATTCAGTTGAAATTTTTCTAGCTGATGCCAACTATGGGATTATTTCCTATCTAAATGCAGATATTTTCTAGCAAAGGGGATATTGGTGTTTTCTGCAATAGTAAGCGGGAAACCACTGTACCAATGGTAGTTCATAGATGTTATTCTCTTGCTTAGTGACCATGTATCGTATTTGTTTCCCAGTTTGCAGAATCAGCTAACACCACATTTATTTCATATAAAGGAATTTAATTTTCTGACAGACAGGAGAGTACAGCAATTTCCGCCAACTGACCTTTTTAGTAAGGTATCAAAAAGTTTATATGATGTAAAGTTGTTTTACAAATTTGTGCTTCTCTCATGTTGTTCCTTCATAACCATTACAGTTTGCATAAACACATATATCTGTAATCTCATTTATTCTCCTGTTGAATCCTAGCTCTCTTTGACAACTGAGCTCCAGCAGAATAATGGATCATCAGTGAAACTTTCCCAGCCTACATCTTTGTCTACGAAGGTTATCCTCGTCCCCTTTACTTTCTTATCATTCACGTCACACATATTATTGATTTGATTTCACTTTCCCTAGTATTCTATTGAGTTATTTGTTGTTTTTTCTTTGACTTAAGGACTCAAAAGAAAACAGATCGACTTTTTTCCAACAAGAACGTAAGGTAAGGTACCTTATAGGACTGATTATGGATAGTCTTAATTGTTCATTTATCTTTAATTTTTTTTGAGTGCTTGCCGTTCTCTTTCCATTTCTTCTCTCATATGATAGTACATCCTCTTGTAGATAAAAGAAAAACCTTCTCTGTTTGGTGGAAAGCAGGCTCAAGACAGGTGCACGACGGATGCTGATAAGAAACTGAGGATGAGGTGCGCTAGCTGAATGATGGATAATAGATGCTATTTTAGTTTCTATATTGTTTCTTATTCACTCATCTTGTCCCTGAAATTGTTACAGGAGGTTGGGCGTCCGTTGACGTTAAAGAGTGGCATCTACATGGGAATCAGATTTTGGTATCTTCTATCAAAATAGAAGGTTGGAAATATGTTTACCATTGATGGTTATACAACTCCGCAAAAAGATTATCAAGCACTTTTGTTGTAAATGGAATCCACAATGGCTGGTCTTCTTTCAAATATATGTAAAACCAGCTCTTTTTTCTTTTCATTTCCCCGATTTGTAGGTTTCAGTTGAAATCCAATAAAACGTAGAAAGGCAGGTGTTGTATGGCTGTTAAGGCCACCTCTTACAACATTTTTGGCGGCACCACCAACACATGTAATTGTGATTAGCCAAGAAATATACACAATTTGGAGTATGTCTCTTCTTTACCTCCATCTGCATCCTTGGTTTCCAGATTGTTCTTTGTTAGGGCCTGCTTTGTCCAACGCTTTATAACGTAGGATCGTTGAAGGGTTTCTTCTCCTTGCCAAGTCTTCTATTTGTTATGGCAATGGCGAGATCGTTTGGAAACAGCGTTTGTCAAACAAAGATGTGAAGAAGAGTGGAGATGAACAATACAGACACCATTGCAGTTGACAAGAGAGAGAGTGGCTGCAAGGCCCTTGCTTGGAACTGATGGTACTTGTTCTGCATACTTGATGGCGACTACTGAGAAAGTTGTCACCGGAAAGGTGCAAGACTGCCAAGCCACCGAAAATCTACAAAAATTGGACAACCTAACATGTTAGAGATCATTCCTCGTCAAATATAAATCAAACAAATGAATCGAAGATTTAACTTCCCTCAGAAAATAGGGTGCTTTGAAGATGCAAAGGCAGGGTGTAGTTTACCCGGGGCCAGTGCAGGTGGTACACCGAGGACTAAGAACACGCAGACAACCCAAGGGGCGAAGAAGAATTTGATCCGAACAGCGTGGAAAAGCTCTCTTTTCGCGGCTTCGAAGTAGTAAATGCATTTGAGGATGCAGGTGAAGGAGACAGAATAGGACTGCCACTGCTAATAGCCAAAGTCCAAGGTTTTAAATGGTGAAATGTCGAGAAACTTGGTAGCTGGGCTAGATGCCAGGGCATGCCATAAGACAGCTTGGCTGCTAAGATATATATAAGGTAAACGCTTGTCAAACAATCTGACATGTTAAAGTTACCAAACTGTCAATCTAATTAAACCATTGATTAGATAAGTTCTTATTTTAATGTTGTGTATGACGTTCTGATAACGTAATGCTTGGCGTATGAGTCAACTTATGATATTAGCATATAAAACATTTGGAACAATTATTTCAAGATTAGACAACAACCAGTGTGTTAATTACCTTGACTTGGTCAAGTGCAGGGCCTCTGAGAGCAGCAATGTATCTCCCAGCAGGAACACTTTGATTAACAGACTCATCAACTCCTGCACAGCCTTCATTAGTCCACTGGGACTCCAGATCTCTTTCCTTTCTCGACGGCAACCAAGAGTTCTGCTTACTCAGATTTGATGACTTGGTCTATAAGAGCCGTTAAATTGTGATACCAAGTTTGTAACTGTTCAACCTGTTACCCTGTTTCCAAATTCCTGAAAGTTTTTTTTGGCGATTTTTGGCATATGCAATCTTGTACTACATTCAAACAAGTTTGACGATTGGATCATGGAAATTAATTTCGTAGAGTGTGTATCCTGACAAAACAATAGAAATAGATTCAACCAACACTTAACGGTTATTCTATAGTTCTATTTAAGCATAATATATCATTTTGTGGTAACCACTACTGTAAGTATTTTAAATAGATGATCGGGTCTGTTCATTGTATTCTTCTAGGGTTAAGTAGTGCAGTTGTAAAAAATCATCAAGATCGAAGCCAAAATAATCGGTAAAACTTGATTTTTCGTTTCTAACCGTCGAAGAATTTCATCCTGTTACCTAATCTCCGACCCGTTACAATCTTGTAGTATATACCAAATACAGTGACGGTTGGATTGTGGAAATTAATTGTACTACTTTCCAACCACCCCTCGCCTTTAGATCATCGAGGTAGTAAACTTGTTTCACTGTATTTTGTTGACAGATATAAGTACATATCATGAATGAGACTACCAGCTTTGTCTGGATTCATATCATATCAATGACACTTGAACAACATGACTTCCTTGCAGTTTGTGTATAACAATTGAACCACACTTAAAAGCTTGCTGAAGAAATAACTATTCTCATGTACCCCCAATACAAAAACTCCGCTATTTTGAATGCACAATTAATGGTATAGTTCATGTGTCAAGAATTTAACTCTGTTTAGGTGACAACTAGAGTATGTTTGGGCTTTAATAGGACCACATGCGAGTTGAAGTAATTCTTCATTAAATAAGGAAGATTTGTCTTCTCGTAACGGTCGCATCTAGTAAAGTCCAAGTACCACTGTATATGTAGGTTTTTGCAACAGATAAAATCAATTTAGTTTAAAAATAAAAACACTTACATGCTGTGCAAACCAATGCGAAAATAATTATCTATGGATTTCAACCCAATTTGAAAGGTATCTGATCTTCATCAGTGCCTCATGCAGTTCGAGAAATGGCGAGACTTCATCGCAGTTGTTTAATATGAACCAATGAGCCACCTCCAAGCTAGCTTCTTTGAACGGTTTAGACGAATATCCTTCGCCAAATGGTGTGCAGGTTGAGTAAAGACATATTTTTTTTTTCAACGGTTCACCCTTGTCAAAATTGCATGGGCGCTTGTTGAAGGAAGTTTCAACATTCCTAAGGTACCTTGGATAAAAGGCAAGTGATTCTTGTATGCTGCTTGCCTCCGCTATGAATCTTTTGGTTGTGTCCTATTGCGGATGAATTGCTTGTAACTAGGCCAGCAGTCTGAAAATTATCAAAATTATAAGAATTTTTAATTTCAATCGCTTTACAAATAACATTAACAAACGTACTGACAAGATTACCGCTCAACTGGATATATGTAACGGTTATGCACCAGCAGCACACTTTGCCTCATAAGACAGATGTCTCATTACATGAACCATACTCATGAAAGGTGTCTGTGGATCTATTTGCTCTAACTGAGATAGGATGTACACAACATCTTTGAACATATCATCTATGTCTGACTTTCGCAATGTTTTAGCATATAGTTGCTGGAAGAACGGAGACAAATATACATTCGTCTAAACAACCTCATGGTCTAAGTATGGTCGAATACCAATAGGAAGGAGTCACTGCAGTAAGCCATGAAATTCGTGACTCTTAATGTGTCTAGATATATGGATAGCATACACGTTAGGAAATTTCACACCTTGCAGCCAATTCAAGAAACCCTTCTTGTCGTCCAACTTGAAAGTATATGAGTGTCCCTTTTCTTGTATTTACCATTGACTAATGTAGGCCACAAGTTGATCTTATCACCATTTCTTACATGCCAATACGAGTCTTCATAGTATTCTTCAGTTTTCCCTTGATAGGCAGAGTCATTCCTATTGTCGCAAATATTCTTCTCAATATGCATAGGATTAGCAATGTGTTTGAAGTTCAATTTGAACCAGTATTCCAAGTAAAAGAATATACTCATTTTGTCCAATTCAGCTGATCCACTAGTCTTGATCCTTCCCCAAATTAGAGAGTATTCAACTTGGACAATAGTTCATCCCTGGACAATTCTCTTGGTCTAGGTGGAAACTCTGTTTTCCAATCAAATGCTTCAGGGTTGCTATGCCAATCGCGATTAGAAGCCTTCAGTGACCCAAGTAGCACACCTTTCCAGCTTGCTAAAAGGTGTTTGTCATGCCATATAACCTTTGGTGCTCTATCCCAACAATATATTGATAGGAGGATATTTATGCGACTTTGTTAGTTTAATTCCTTGCATTTATTTAGATAGTTCTTAGTTATTTTAGTATTTTAAGCTATTTTCGTGTGTTTATAGGTCCAAAGGGATAAAATAGCAAGAAAGTGCATTTTGGTGCATTTTGGAGCAGTTTTGGGCTTGGAATGGATAACACATGCTTGGAGCAAGGTGGATGGATGAAATTGAAGACCAAAGGAAGCTAGGAATTTTCTAAATAGATGGAAGAAATTAATTCAAGACTTGGAAGAAAAGGAATCAGCTACAAAGAAGGAAACATGAGTCAAACTTCCTTATTTTGACTTAGTCAAATCCTAATCTTTTCCTACTTAAGTTCCAGCTGCAAAGAGGCTTCCTAATTGATTTAGGACACTTAAATATAAGTTCTAGAAGCCTTAATCCCAGTCAAAGAGGGATGCGCCACCACCTTACCCTTTTCCCTTTCCCTTGCCGTGCAAGGTGTCCCCTTTCCCCTTTCTAATTCCTTGCCGCAACTTTCCTATTCTTTTCCCCTAGGATTCTGATTTTAACTACCCTTTTTCCTTGAGGATTTGGAGTCCAAATCCTTTCCTAAAATTAATTAAGGTTTCTTCCTTCTTAATATATATTCTTGCTGCAAATCCCTACACCATTCATCATTCACTAATTCAGCCATAATCCATCCTTTTATCACCAAAATTCGCACCATCCATCCACCACAACCCAATTTCATACCCAAACACCCTTGTGTTGCAATTTTGCAAGGAAAAAGGAGAGAAGACCCCTAGGACGTGCTTGCCATTCAAGATTGGATTGTTGGAGTGTTTCTAGGTGTATTTAATTTTTGTTTTCAATGTTTAATTTGAGTTTTCTTTGTTTAATTGTGAACATGGGGAGCTAAACTTGTTTTAGCTAGAGGAGACTTTGAACCATGATTATATTTGCAATATGAATTGATTACTTCCAGTTGTGATTTCATAAATCGTGAATGCAATTTACATAACTGTTGGATTAAGAACTTATTCTTGTGTGTTGATTAAGGATGCATACTTAGTTTGCATGCATGAATTTGATGCTAGAATATAAGGGAGTTTCACATAATCGTTATGAACTTATATTCGCAAGTAGTAAAGGTCGCTGGTCACGATCGTGTTAAGTTGAATTCCTGGCATGAGTATCATGATGTCATAATTACGAATGCCTTGTCAATGCTTATGATTTTCACAAAGCTTAATGATCTTTGATTGATCTCTATTATGATGTTCATGTAAGGAACTATTGAAGAATAATTTGGTTGCCGATGCGTATTCCATCCAATTCAATGACTTAAGGAAAATCTGAGGGTTAATTAGTGATGTCATGGTTAATCTGGGGTGTTAAGGTTCATGGTTTATTGAAAAAGCAACTGGAAATCAATTTGTATGCAAGTGTGTCATGTATGGAGAAGGACCCTCTAGCTAGCTAATCACCCATCAATTCACCTAAATTCGTATTCCTTTACTTAGTTTCTGCAATTTACTTGTTTTTACTTCAAATTCGTCAAAAACCCAATCCCCTTTACTTTGTTGTGTCAAATTAGCTAGAATCTATCCAATTTGTGTTTTTAAGTGTTTTGAGTCAAGTTAGAGTTAGAATTCGTCCAAATTAAGTCCTAGTGTCTAATTTGAGTCTAGTTGATTGTTTTGTGTTGTTTTGAATCTTTTTAGTTTTTTTTGAGTCATATAAGTCTAGTTAAGTGTTTTCAAGCCTAGTTTTATGTTTTAAAGTCAGTTTTAAGTAGATTAGCAATGCCTTCTAATCCCCGGCCTAGAACGATCCCTGCTTGCATCTTTACTACAATTGTCAACAAGATGGTTTAATTTGAGTGCTATTATATATCACATCAAATTTTTGACGCCGTTGCCGGGGATTAGCAACTTTGCTAATCCCCCTTTGTTTCTGTTCATGTATTTTAGTTTTAGTTTATGATTTTTGTTTTTCTTTGTTTTGTTGATATTAGGGACTAGAGAAGCAAGACATGGCAATTGCTAGTGTTCAAGCTCAAATGCCGAATCTTACTTCTCTTTTGTCACAGCATATCGAAAGGACCACAATGCAAAGTGTCCCTACATTTGGTGCTTCATATAGGCAAGAATATCAAGCAAATCAATGTCCACAAGGAGATTGGAGTGATCACTCAAACTCTATGTGGTGGGAATCTTAACAAGTTCAACACGAAGGATATTGGCAGTCATATAAGGAGTTCTATACAACGCCTATGCAGCCTCCACAGCTTCCCCGACAACAAATCCAACCACA